GATTTTTTTAATTTTTTCAGTATGGGTACATGATTTAAATATTAACCACAAAAAATGAATTCCTCAATCTAACTTTTAGAATACTTTTGGACGTTGTTCAATATTAACCATTATTGGAGGTCTTTCATCATTCAGCAAGTATACCGTAACTTTTTGTTTTCACATGATCAGGGGAATGACTAATCCTGCATATAATATGAAAATCTAATAAATGATGTACACTGTACATAATTTATTTCCTAAGATTAAAAGGATTAATATAATTACATACTGTTACTCCAAATGCGAGTAAACCAACTGAGTTATGTAAGTGAAAAACTGCGAGTTATTAGTAAAACTGACTACCACGTAAAAAACCAAAGGTAATAACTAAGTGTTCGTCCTGTGTTCAATTTAAATTTTAAATCAAACACATGTTTGTATACATAAAGGCAATGTTACTACAATAATGGACAAGTCAAACACGAGTTTCAATGTTTGTACAAGGTTCAATCATGTTGAACAAGGGTGAGCCAGTAGCAAGAACTGAGGTTTGCTAGTATTGCTTCCAATACCGCAACATGAAGGTTTCGTGAGGGTGAACAGATTAAAGTTATACAAGGGGGCGATGACTACTTGTACCGGCGTCTAGTTGTACCTGCTGCATTTTGGTGACAGGCGTCTAGTTGTACCTCGTCCAAAGCTGTAGGTACAACTTGACGATGGTGCGGACGTCTAGTTGTACCTACGTCTAGTTGTCTCTACGTCTAGTTGTACCTCTTAAAAATCTACAGGTACAACTAGTCGGGTACGCCACCGTCTACTTGTACCTCATACGTCTGCGTCTACTTGTACCTACGACTACTTGTACCTACGACTACTTGTACCTACGACTACTTGTACCAACGACTACTTGTACCTACGACTACTTGTACCTACGACTACTTGTACCAACGACTACTTGTACCTACGACTACTTGTACCTACGACTAGTTGTACCTACGGCTATAGTTCGGCCGCTTAGAAAGCGACCTCCTCCAGCATTGGTTTAGCATTAGCGCGCAGGTCGTTTTATAAGCGGCCGAACTATAGTTGTATCTCCCCGTCAACTTGTCACCAGTTTAAGGGATTTATTTTATTTCTTTAAAAATCATACAATCTTACAACAATTGTTTATAAACAACTTGCTACAAAAGCCAGGAAAATGTGGCTTGTCTGCAGCTCATTGAGAAACCCCTGTTCTTGATAACAATGTACTTGTGTCCCTTGGTCAGTCCTTATCCATGTTACACTTTGGTTTTCCTTATTTCTTGTCAAGATCTGCTATCATTGCTTTTTTCCACTTAAACTCTACCTTTCTATAGAAAACTAACATTAACTAGCTTAAACAACAATGAAGAAGTAGGTTCTTCTTTAACTATTTTTGTTACTTTTATGATAAAATTATTCAAGAAACTGATAGAAAATAGAATTTAATAAGCATGACAAAAACATAAGTGTATGAATTATAAAAACCAGGAATGAACTGTTAGGTAACCCTAGCAACTCATTTAAACAAAACCAAAGTTATACTTTTATAAAAAACAAATAACTGTCCAGCTGGTTTTCAACAGTATTGAAGCACTCACCACAGTACCCCCCTGCTAATGATTTAATTTAAGTAAATCATGATACTTGAAATCGTACAGGAAAGCGTACATGTCTCCCAGATTTTGTCTTAATCGCAGGTTTTAATTCGCTTGAACTTGTCTTGGTATAATTAGGATCATCCATGCTTTGTGTCTTGCTTTGTGCTTGTGTGGATTTGTTGCTTTCTGTCCTATTTGGTGCATATCCATCGTTCTTGTATTCGGACCAAAAGTATGCCGGTTTGAGTCGATCCATGGATACCGTGACATTACAGCCTTTAATCACCACAACGGCAGTCTTGGTGGTTCTGCTGATAATAGGGTAAGGGCCAGAGTATGGGGGTTTGAGAGCTCCCTTGGGGATGTCAGTCCGCACAAAGACATGTGTGCATGTAGCGAGGTCCTTAAAAACGAATGGCGTCTTCGCACCATGTCTAGTTCCACTGACTGGACGCAGGTTGTTGAAGTGCTGACGTAAGCTCTTTACGAAGTTTGGTGGATCCAATTGATGTCCATCTTGGCTGGGCGTCATAAACTCTCCAGGAAGTCGTAGAGGTTGACCGTAAACGAGTTCTGCAGAGGAAGCTTGCATATCTTCGCGCCACGCAGCTCTGATCCCCATCAGTATCACTGGCAATACTTCGGTCCAACGATCTGTTGTGTGACACCTTATGGCTGCCTTGAGTTGTCGATGAAGGCGTTCAACGAGTCCATTGGCAGCAGGGTGATAGGCAGTCGTTCGCAGACGTGTTGATCCAGTTAACTGTGTTAGCTGCTGGAAAAGAGAGGATTCAAATTGTCGACCTTGATCTGTGGTTATGCGCAGTGGCGTTCCAAACCTTGAAATCCAGTTGGTGAATAATGCACGAGCTACAGTTTCCGCTTCTATGTTCTCAAGTGGAACTGCTTCAGGCCAACGTGTAAATCTGTCAACACAAGTCAAACAATACCTGTAACCTTCCGAAACAGGTAATGGGCCAACTAGATCAATATGGATGTGTTCGAATCTAGAAGATGGTGGAACAAACGTACCAACTGGGGTTGAACTGTGACGTGTTATCTTTGACTTCTGGCAGGAGAGGCAGGAGCGAGCCATAGAACGACAGTCCGATTTCATTGAAGGCCAAACAAAACGTTGGCTAACCAGTTTTGTGGATGCCTTTATCCCGGGATGAGACAGGTTGTGCAAGCTGTAAAAAAACATTTTTTCGAAATTGTTTTGTGACAAAAGGACGGGGGTTTGAAGTAGATACATCACAATAAAGTGAGATTTCCGTTCCTGGTAGCAGCACTTGCTTGAGCTTTAGGTTGGATTCTGTTTCTAAATAGTGTTGTAGTTCTTCATCCTGAGCTTGAGACTCTGCCAAAGCCTGGAAGTTTAAGGAGGCAGTGGCTTCCTCTATCCTAGAGAAGGTATCTGCAACTGCGTTTTCTTGTCCAGAAACGTGGCGAATGTCAGTTGAGAACTGTCCAATATATTCCAAGTGACGGAACTGTCTTGGAGAACACTTATCAGGTTTTTGACGGAAAGCAAAGGTCAGAGGCTTGTGATCTGTAAAAATTATGAATTGTCTTCCTTCTAGCATATGTTTGAAATACTTAATGGCAAGATAAATTGCTGTTAGTTCTCTGTCATAAGTACTGTATTTCTGTTGAGTTAGACTTAACTTTTTGGAAAAGAAAGATAGTGGTTGCCAGTTTTGTCCTACCTTTTGTTGCAATACACTTCCTACAGCATAGTCTGATGAATCGCAGAAGATTGCAAGTGAGGCATTCGGTACAGGGTGAGACAACATAACGGCTTCACTGAGGCTTTTTTACAAGTTTCAAAAGCTTGTTCACTTTCTGTAGTCCAATTAATAGGCATATTACCTTTTAGATTGGCTTTCAGAAGGTCGTTTAGTGTGCTCTGCTGGGACGCTGAATGGGGTAGGAATCTACGATAAAAGTTTAGCATACCAGTGAATCTTCTTAATTCCTTTGCAGTCTTTGGTTTGGGGTAACAGTCAAGAGCTTTCACTTTTTCAGGTAAGGGTTTTATCCCTTCTCCGGAAACTTGATATCCGAGAAAACTAACCATGGGAACTCCTAGGTTGCACTTACTTGGGTTGACAAAGACTCCGAAAGAGGATAGGCGGTCAAACAATTTCGTAAGTGAATGAGGTGTTGTTCTTCGGATTCTGAAGCTACGAGAATGTCATCAATGTAAGCGTAACAGAAGTCTAGGCCATTGAGTACACCATCAATAAAACGTTGAAAGGTTTGGGCAGCATTGCAAAGTCCAAAAGACATGAAAGGAAATTCGAAAAGACCAAAAGGTGTTGTTATAGCAGTCTTATGAACGCAGTCATCAGGAACTACAGGGATCTGATGGTAAGCACGAACAAGATCTATAGTAGAGAAAAATTTTTTACCATGCAAATTTAGAAAAAAAGTCCTGAATGTGAGGAATAGGGTAGCGATCAGGAATGGTTCTGGCATTTAGGGCTCTGTAGTCTCCACATGGTCTCCATTCGTCTCCTTTTTTGGGAACCATATGAAGAGGGGATGACCAGCTGCTAGAAGAAGGTCTAGCTATACCTAACTGGACCATAACCTCAAATTCTTTTTTGGATAACTTTAACTTGTCCGGGGCTAGACGACGGGGTTTGCTAAAGACTGGTGGTCCTGGGGTTGTCTGGATATGGTGTTATGTTTGGTGTTTGACAGGGACAGAAGGTTTACCTGCCGGTCGAATAAGGGACGCATATGATTGGAGGAGCTGCATGTAGACATTTTGGTTTGCATTTATTGCTTTAATACCACTTACCAAATTGGAGCATGTTGCGCGACCAGTGGAAACGAGAGAGGTTACCTGATCAATCAAACACTGACGTCGAACATCCACTAATAAATCATAATGATGAAGAAAGTCAACTCCAATGATCGGTTTGGCAACATCAGCTATGATAAAACGCCACAAAAATGCTCGGCGTAGGCCTAGGTCCAAAGATAAGGTATGCAACCCGTAAGTGGCAATTTCGGTGTAGTTTGCTGCGTATAGTGTATAGTCAGATTTTAGTATTTTACCTGAAAGCATTTTTCGTGGATAGACGCAAACATCTGCTCCAGTGTCAATGAGGAACTGTTGTTTTGTTACCTTGTCTGTGACGAAGAGGCGGCGAGATGTCTGTAGATCGGAGGAGTCGCTGGCCGCCATTAGAGACTCCCGAGATCGTTTCCCGAGTTGTTGGCTTGGAAACTGCAAGGCCTGGTGCACTTAGTTGCTGCATTACCGAATCGCTTGTGGTACCAGCAAACATCGTCTCTTGTCGTGCTCTTGGAGCGTGATCTTGATCGCCGAACCGGACTTGAACTCCATGTTGGACGACGATTTTGATTACTCCGCAGATCTTATTTGATAGTTGAAATGTCGTGCTGAAGATTGCTTACGATTTCGCCCATTTTAGATGTCATCAGGATCGTCAGTCGCTCCATCATTACTTCCATAGAGTTGGGACTGTTAGTAGGGACAGTTGCTTCTGTAACTTGATGACGCGGGCTAATTTCAAGCACGGCGTCAGCCAACTCGGCTAGTGCATCAAGCTCAGACGACTTTTGTGTTGCTAAAATGGCTTGAGTTGATGAAGGCAGACGACTCAACCACAGAGTTTTCAGCACAGTGTCGGGCACAACGGTACCAGCCAAAGCACGAAGATGTCTGAGGAACTGCGAGGGCTTTCGATCTCCCATTTCTTCATGTTCCAGGAGACGTCTGGTCTTCTGTTCCTGTGAAGAGCTTAGGCGTTGTATCAATTCTGTTTTCAGTTTTTCGTATTTTACCTCGGTTGGTGGTCTTGTGAGGATGTCTCTCACTTCAGCAGCGTATTTAGCATCAAGGTTTCCACAAACATAAAAGAATTTTGTTTCATCAGATGTGATCCGAGCCAAGGAGAATTGGGTCTCGACCTGCGCAAACCACAGCTCAGGATCTGCTGGCCAAAATTGTGGAATCTTCACAGTAATTCGTTCTAGGGAGTTACCTTCTTGAGTAGTAGACATTGTATTGCAATTTTGCTAAATTTTGGTAAAAAATGATCACGTCGGGGTCACCACTGAAGAAGTAGGTTCTTCTTTAACTATTTTTGTTACTTTTATGATAAAATTATTCAAGAAACTGATAGAAAATAGAATTTAATAAGCATGACAAAAACATAGGCCTTAAGTGTATGAATTATAAAAACCAGGAATGAACTATGAGGTAACCCTAGCAACTCATTTAAACAAAACCAAAGTTATACTTTTATAAAAAAACAAATAACTGTCCAGCTGGTTTTCAACAGTATTGAAGCACTCACAACAAACAACTTGAAACAATTATCTTAAATAAATAAATTCAGAGTTTACAAAAACAAGTAATTGAGTATAATCATAGATGAAGTACTTCATCTATAGTATAATGATGTTTTTTAGCGAATTTCCCATATAGGGAATAAGCTATTACAGTGGTACTCATGGTAAGACCTGGACCCGGGACCGATTTTTTTTTCGTTTTGAGGTCCCTAGAGGCCAAAAACACCATCCGTTCAAATTCATATATATATATATATATATATATATATATATTTATACATGTGTCCGTTATCGCGATAACTCGAGCAAAAACGATCCGATTTTGATGAAATTCGGTACAAACGTGTAAACCTACGTTTATTCGAACGAGTTCGCGAACCAGCATGATCGGACCATGGGATCGGGGGTTTATGGGGGGTTTTATGGGGTAAAAATGGGTTTTTCCCATTTTTGACTCAAAATACATAAAATTTTGCAATTTCTTTCCAAACTATTTTGTAGAGCTTAAAAAAACAAATAATTTAGTATATTGAAGCGTTATAATGCACCTAATCGTTACGGAGAAAATTCCAAAAAATTGTAAATTTAAAATTCCCATGTTGTTCTTATGGAGAATAAGTAAACTGTTGTAGTTTGCTTGTTTATTAACATATTTTGCCCAAATTTGGAAAATGTTTTTATTTCTTACTAACTATTAACATTTTACATAAAAAACACTTTTACCCTCCCTGTTGCAGCAAACCTAAGTATGTGTTAAACTGATTCTATTTAAATAAGGAATGTGATATTTTTAAGGAGACGTTTTAGTGTAAATCCAATCAGGCAAATGGAAATTCGCTTAGTCTGCAGGTTTGCTGCGGCGGGGGTATTAAGATAGTAGGACAACAACGTAAACTTAAAGATAGGAGCGAGTGTATGCAATTCCAAGATAGAGTTTAGTATTCACCGATCCTATGATAATTTAAGAGTATATTTCGTACCTAGGGCCGAAAATGACTTTTTTGTCAGCTCGGGATCATTTTTAAGTTCGAGACGAAGATGAAATCGGCCCGTGGTACGATTGGTATTTTTCACCAATAAATATTTAAAGGAATTTTTAAGCAAAAATAGTAATACATAATTGCTAGGCAGTGGTCTATTGCAATTCATTAAGAATATACTGCTTGTATATTAAATGATATATATAAATGTTTTAATTAAATAAGCGATTTTCGGTACTAGGGCTGGACAATTTTAATTACATCTATAGCTGCCATTTCGACCCTGGACAGCAATGCGTAGCTTTCAGCCTCCAATTAACGTCTGTAAAACTACTATAAAACATCGTAGTGCGGTGAAAAAATATTTGCCAATCATACTCAATTGACTCGAAACCAGGGAGCACAGAATGCTCGGAACACTGCAATTTCTGATTTAATTAATATTACCTACTCCTGCAGTAATCAATTAAAACGGGTAACGAATTGAAGGATAGATACAACTAGACTATAAGGACGCAAAATACGCGTAGGTACAACTATTCGTAGGTACAATTAGTCGTAGGTGCAACTAGACGTAGGGACCACTACACGGAGGGACCACTAGTCGTAGGGACTACTAGTCGTAGGGACAACTGGTCGCATCCGTACAAGCTAGGTGATACTACTTGTCGGTGGGATACACGTCTAGTTGTACCTACGCCTACTTGTACCTACGTCTAGTAGTACCTCCTAAAAATCTGCAGGTACAACTAGTCGGGTGTGCCACCGTCTACTTGTACCTACGTCTAGTTGTACCTACGACTAGTTGTCCCTAGGCCTCGAGGTACAAGTAGACGTAGGTACAACTAGACGGCGGGACAACGAGACGCGGTCCCTATACAAGCTACAAAATTATCTTGCAATATTACATATTTATAAAATGTATAAAGAAGATAATTTGTTACTGCATAAGTTAAGTGAAACATGATAGTTTTTTTACAACCAAACAACGATCATTAAAACATAATTAGGAATAATAATAATAAATAGTATTGAAGAGTTGTGTTTCAGTAAAACCTTAGAGATACTTGAGTAATGATTTTAATGTCATTAATCTGATTAAAATAAACTATATGTTAAACAATAATTAATTGTCCATTGGTGTTATTTAACATCTTCAATAATGATTTATTTGTTATATAACTTGTATACATGGACCAGCCTTTTGTTGATTGATATTCTAAGATCATAAATAGTAATAAACTTTACATTATTGTTATGTGTGTGTGTTACAGATTCCTCTCTAATGAATTAATCAATTAAAATAACTACTGATATTCTATTGAATTCACGAATATTTAAATATTTTTTCAATAGAGAATATTAATTAAGAAAACGCATCTATGAGTTAATGGTCAGATTAAATAATTGTTATCGTAATTTACGCATTTAGTGTTGACCCACTAACGTTTCTCATGATATTTTCAGAGTCTTTACAAAATCTGTGACGTATCCCTAAAAGCTACACTACAACCTCTTATGACAGTTTCGTCCAGTTCTGAAAGTAAAATCTAAAGAATTTCTGTCATTGTTTTTTTATATTTGCCCGAGGAGAGATAATAGACTAAGAGGTACTGATGAGGGTAACATACAAAACCTTACGTACGAACTTCATTAATCAGACCGTTGTATTCTCTTATAATTAGCAAGCATAGAGAGGGTAGTTCCCAATTCTTAAACAATTGCGTCAACTAAGGATTTCATCTTAAAATATAAATATGCTCTGCCATTTTGACAACTAATGTTATTTAAATAGGTACTAAATCTAAAAATAAATAATTTAAGGAGTTATTAAAATATTATCAGAGAAATGTAAATTCCCTTAGTCTACAGGTTTGCTGCAGCGGGGATGTTATTAACATGGCGTCGTTTGATAGGAAGTGCTAAATAAAATTTGTTCTGGATATTTTTGATGAAACCAGCCAATATGTTTGTAAATCTGTTTGCAACTCTCCAAAAATATAAATGGTTGTAGTTTTGAACACAAAAAGACTTTTTAATGATTATTTTTTTATAATTAATTATATAATTCAAAATTGTACACATAATGGAGGATAAAGGCTTAAAAAAATCAAATCCTTTTAGCTGCTTATACTAATGTGGTTTATTTGTACAAGGGCCCAATCAGTATGTATTAGAGTAAGTTTTTAGTAGATGAATAAACAGTGCCACTTCTTTTTCAATCAAGGTTAATTAACCAAACTTAATCAAGGTATAATTAAGCTACTTCATTCCCAGCAGTAATGTAATAAAATTGACAGCTTTTTAATAAATATCCATGTAACAATTTAAACCTTCGAGATATTAGCATAATATGTTAATGTCTCGTCTATGCTAGACGTGCATATCTAATTATTTTGATAGTTTATAACATAGTTATAATTAGTCAATTTATTCGCCGTGAGGTTTATTACTAAGAAAATCTTATCATTTTCAAATTATATTCAGATAAATATTTTAAATTTCCATTAATATTAAATGAATTTCGATATTAACTGTTTTTACTTTTGTTTCATCTTAGTGTTTGACGCTTCTAAATCCTTTTTATTTAGTTAAAGAACCACTTTATACCTAATGTTGATCTAGTTGACCCTTTGAAAAACACCAATTAACTATAATCAACAAATTGTATTCCGTTTTATATTCTAACCATAGTAAGAGTTTTAGTAGATCAGTAAATATTATAAGCCTTTAATATTACAAACATAATGCAAACACTAATAAGCTGTTCGTAGTATGTTTTTGGTGTGTATTATGATCATAAATTAAAACATATATTTGACTAAGTCCACTTACATCATATTTTCACCTCATCATATCTCCTGTCATTTATTTATTTATTGCATTTTGATAAATAATGTTATGTTTGGACACAACTACAGTCGACGCACAGGCTCGCTGCCCATGTCGGCTTATTCCCTATTAACATGTACGCTTTTTTAACATAGATGTATTGTAAAGGTTAATTTTATTTTATTCTTTTAAATTCACTTACGTTTTTTTTCTTCCTTTAAATATTAGTGTACATATTCTGTAAATAATTTGTTGGAATAAAGAGATAATTCATTCATTCATTCTTTCTTGGAGAGTTTTCATTTAAATATGGAAATACATTAGAAAGGTCAAACTTAAAATAAAAAGTCACTTCAGCTTTATTTCTTCCTGCAATCGTCTTGCCAGGCTGTCAACAGCTTAAACCCTTAACCATTCTCAACACAGAGCGGCAAAGAATCGTCCTCACATTTTATATTCAACCCTGTAGTTTTAAGCTAAAGAAAATACAATGCAGATTCACTGTCTTGCCGTATGCTTAGTTTAAAAAGAATTTATCATTAATTATTTTACTTTTAGCATTATTAAAATAGTTTAACGAAGACAACATGTAAGATAATTGAAAGAATATCTATATAATATAGTTTTATAATTATAAAACTATTATTCAATATAATTAAAGTGCAGTAAATCTTGAGAAATAAAGATTTATCAAATGGCTTACGGGCAAACGAGCAGTGGCGCTTTAAAGAAAACTTAATAAAGTGTGTAAACAATTACAAGTATCTTAGGATAGTCTACTCGTCAAAGTTTTCTCTGCAAAAACAACTTTGAACAAAAGCTAACATCCTCGAAAAATTCAGTATTTCCTTATGGTGGAAGGTTTTAACAAATTAATATTTTTCAGTATTGTAAAAA